CGCTGTAGCTCAAGTGGTAGAGCACTTGCCTTGAGCTGAAGAGCTGAGGGACAGCACCCAGGCCCAGAGTTCAAGCCCCACAACCGACAAAAAAAAAAAGAGAGAAAGAAAGAAGAAGAAAGAAAGAAAAAAATTCAAAATCATAGGCAATCTAAGTATCCAATATTAAGAAAATTTAAAAAATAGTGCCATTATTCTATCACAGCATTTAAAATAAATGATTAAAAAATGAACTAGAGGTATTAGGATATCAACAGATCTGTGTTGACTGACTATTGAATAAAATTACTGTTACAAGAATAATATGTATATTGTAATACCATAAACTTTAAAATGTCAAAAATTTTATAAACTTTATTTTTTTGGGGGGGGGGTCGGTCGTGGGGCCTGAACTCTGGGCCTGGGTGATGTCCCTCAGCTCTTCAGCTCAAGGCTAGTGCTCTACCACTTGAGCCACAGCACCACTTCTGGCTTATGTGGTGCTGAGGAATCGAACCTAGGGCCTCATGCACATAAGGAAAAATACCACTGAGCCACCTTCCCAGCCCTAAACTTTATTTTTTAATTTTTATTATCTTTAAGTAATTGTACAAAGGGATTACCATTCAACATGTCAAAACTTCATCAATTTTAAAACTTGCCTAATAACTGAGCACAAAGGAAGGGATAAAATTGCTCAGCAAGAAATATACTCATTACCTGACTTATGAAATGGTATCCCTCAGTATAATACCTTAATAACATCAATTTAAAAATATTAACAGTTATCTTACTTTATCAGTATTTTATGATCTCTATGGTTAGCCTTCCTTGAAGGAAACCCTCAGGCCATACAACTTTCCCAAAGTCCTATAGAGACTATTCATTCATAGCCTTCCTTTAAAGATTTCCAACTAAACTTCCCCTAATGGGTAATTCATTTCTACCTGCTACTTGGGAAGGGAAGCTTTAAGTTCCCTAACAATTAGTGCTTTAAGGCAGTAATTGACAGCTTAGAGCACTGGTGCTCACTGTGCTGGGTAATTTTCCTCCCCAGGGGACATTTTGCAATGTCTGCAGGACATCTTTGCTTGTCATAATTGGTGGGTAACACAGGCATTTAAGAAGCAGAGGTCAGGGATGCTGTTAAGTACCTTATAATGAATAAGACAACCCCTCACAAGAAAAAATTTATCTGGGCCAGAATGTCAATCATACCAAGGTAGTCATCTTGGTCTAGAGTAAAGCCTTTTCATATCTGTCTATCTATCCATCCATCCATCCATCTATTTTTGAGACAGGTCTTGCTGTGTAGCTTACAATGGTCTGGAACTCGTTATATAGCCCAGACTGGTTTCAAACTTGAGATCCTCCTGCCTCTGCCTCTTGTGTGCTGATTATAGGTATGCACAAGTTTATGTACACAGGAATTGTAGGCACGTACAATCACACTCAGCTTATTTGTCTTAAAAAAACAACAAACAACAACAAAAAAAGGTAAGTCATATAATTAAGCACACATTTTGGAACAAATGTGAGTGGCTAGTCACAGAGACAGAGATGAGCAAAGGAGTCAGGAAAGCCTACAAAAAAGGTGTCCCCAAAGTCAAGCACTAGAAATGTTGGCCCTAATTCCCTCCTTGCATGCTCACCTACTCACCCAACTTTGAACTCCACAGACATTCAAAAGGCTTCAGTGGAAGAGTAGAAAAGGCAGAGCTGGAGGCACCAACTGGTGATAACAGATAGTGATCATGGCAGCAAGTTACTTTGGGAGACTGGGGGACTGAGATTAACACAACCACTGGACTAAGAAGCAAACCAGAAAGGTTTCAAGTAGCTACAGAGTGAACTGAGAAAGGAAGAACTGGTAAATCTCCCTTCCCAAATACCTGACAGAACAACAGGCAAAAAGGATAAGGGATTATCTATAGCTGAGAAACCTGCTATTAACTTCAAAAGAGTTCTTGCTGCCAGCAAAGAGCAAAGGTTAACCCTTTGTGAGATGGGTAGCTCAGCTTCTTTTAACTCTAACATTTCAGTGCAGGTTACCCTAAAAAGTAGTTAAATCCCATCAGTAACATTGAAGGTACATTTCTTCTTTTTGCAAAACACTACATGACCCAATGTCCTCTGCTCATTTCACTAATCTGGGACCTAGATTTTAGGACCTGCAATTTTGAATGCCTTGAAAATCCAAGGTCCTCCCAGAACTAGCCCAGAATTAAAGTTGATCAATTACTGCATGCAGCCTTACCTTCAAACAGAAGATGAAGAAGTCCCCTGCCAAACCACATTCCTGGCAATGGGACAGCAAATCCCCAAGATGCTCCACCTGACTCTGCTCCGAAGACACCTTCTGATACAGGGCTTCATCTTCATCCTCATGACTTCAATAAAGGTTAGGATTTGTCTTAGCCACATCACCAACCCAGTTTTGTTTTTTTGGTTTTTTTTTTGTCAGTTGTGAGGCCTGAACTTTGGACCTAGGCGCTATCCCTCAGCTCTTCAGCTCAAGGCTGGCACTTGAGCCACAGCACCACTTTCTGCTTATGTGATGTTGAGGAATTGAACCCAGGGCTTCATGCATGCAAAGCAATCACTCTACCACTGAGCTACCTTCCCAGCCCCCGTGATTTTTTTGAAATCCCATAAGGTAACCCATTACTTCAATAAAGTTAATCACTAATGAGATCGCTAAAAAAATTATTTAACTTGCTGAGCACTGATGGCTCATGCCTGTAATCTTAGCTACTGAGAAGGCTGAGATCTGAGGATCATGATTCAAAACCAGCCTGGGCAGGAAAGTTTATGAGACTCTGATCGCCAATTAACCACCAGAAAACTGGAAGTGGTGCTGTGGCTCAAGTGGTAGAGTGCTACTAGCCTTGAGCTCAAGGGTTCAGGGACAGTGCCCAGGCCCAGAGTTCAAGCCCCACAACTGACAAAAATAAATAAATAAAATAAAAAATAAGGATGGATGTTGAATAATTACTATTTTCTCGTAAATTGCAAAAGCAAGGAGAAATAAAAGTTACAATCAAATATGCTGGTTCTCCAAGACAGACAGAAGAATTAAGCCTGCAAAGATCCCAGAGAGCTTTGGATAGGAATTTTTATTTTTATTTTTTTCTTGAGGAGTCACTGAAGGGAGAGTGAAAAAAAGACATGACCACCATGGGAGGAGATGCAGTTAATGTCAACCCATATTAACCAATTAGCTGAGATAAAGAAATATATAACAACCAGGTACAGTGGTCCATGTCTATAATCCTAGCACCTGGGAGGAGGCAGGGAAATCATGACTTAGAGACTAGCCTGGGCTACATTCAGAGTTGTAGGGAGATGGAGGGATGGAGGGAGAGACGGAAGGAAGGAAGGAAGGAAGGAAGGAAGGAAGGAAGGAAGGAAGGAAGGAAGGAAGGAAGG